AATTTCAGTCTAAACCAAGTCTAATCTTCACCAAAACCCCTCAAAATTGAGATATAAACTCCAAACCATATTCCCGATTATTTTTAACAACACTCAATCCAAACAAATAATGATTTTTGAAAACCCACATTTAAATTCAAAGCTTTCAAGCTTTTTAATGGCTATCAGTGGTGGAAAATATCTGGAAGAATATTTACTTTCATAATTGTAGCGCGCCTAAATAGGAATATCTGGAAGAATTTGATTTGATCTGATTTACGCCAAATCTTTTTAGAATATTCTGTTCCTCAATTTTAGCTCGACAAATTAGGAAGATTCAGCTACTATTAATTAGTATTTAATTATTGATATAATAACTGTAGAAAAAATATGGACAGGGTGGGTAAATTAGAAACTATGCACATTTTTGGTAATAAGGTTTCATATATGGTATAGGAAAGAAAAAATCTCTTAAAATATACATGTTTAAAATAGTGAAAGAACTCCAACAATCGAGGTTGGATTTCAAACACTTAACTAAGTAAAACTCCAGCATAATATATTGAATTTCCAAAAATTCTCTACAGGTGTAATCCCAAATGTATGGTACTAGATTTTAGAGCTTTAAAAAAAATATTTTAGCATAATGTACTGGAGTTCAAACCTTCATATATTCAAACCCCAACAATAATTACTGGGGTTATAATCGTTATAGGTTCAAGCCCTAGTAATGATTATTGGAGTTCAAAACTTTATAAGTTCAAACCCCAACAATGATTAGTGAGGTTTGAATCCTTTTCACATTGTTTCACTCAAGGATACACAATCACAGAGTTCTAACTTCCACAAGCTGAAAGTACACGATATTGTCCTTGAGTTCAAAAGAGGTACCATAGGTGAAATAATATTCTTAGGTTCAAAACCCAACAACAATTACTGGGTTTCAAATCATTAAAGGTTCAATCTCCAACAACGATGTGACGATCCGGCCAGTCGTCTCATGAGTTACCGCTTCGTTTTTCCCATTTTCAGCTTCTTTATGCTTTAATATCCGTATCTTATGTGACCGAGTTGGTTTGGAGAGGTTTTGGTAGGAAATAAGACACTTAGTCTCTTTAAGGTAGGGTTGGTTTGGAAAAGTCAACCGGATGTTGACTTGTGTGTTAGAGGGCTCAGATGTGATTTCCGGTGATTCGGTTAGTTTCGGGAGATAATTTGTGACTTAGAAATTAGCTTGTGATCGGAAGTGGTTTTGGAGGTCCGGTGTAGAAATTAGCTTGTTTTGGCGAAGTTAGTATTTTGGCGATTTCCGGTTGGTAGGTGAGATTTTGATCCGAGGGTCGGAATGGAATTCCGAGAGTTGCAGTAGCTTCGTTAGGTGATTTGGGATGTGTGTGTAAAAATTCAGCCCATTCGGAGGTGATTTGGTTAGGTTTTTGATCGAATGCGTGTTTCGAAAGTTTTTGAAGAACTTAGGCTTGAATTCGATAAGAATTGATGGTTTTAGTGTTGTTTGAGGTGTTTTGATGATTGGAACAAGTTTTGATGATGTTTTAGGATGTGTTGGTACTTTTGGTTGAGGTCTCGGGGGCCTCGGGGTTTTCAGATGGCTAAACGGGAAGTTTGAGTCTTGGAGAGATCGCAGAAATGCAGCAGATGTTGCAGGTTCGATTTGGCGTTGGGGATGGGGAGGGTGGGACCGCGATCGCATAGAAGGATTTGAGCAGGCCGGAATTTTACTCTACGCGTTCGCAATAGATGGTCCGCGATCGCGGAAGGGAAGTTATTGGTTCTTCGCGTTCGCATTGAGGAGTCCGCGTTCGCGTAAGAGGACCTGGGGACCCAGGTTATTTGTTCATCGCGTTCGCACCAGGAAGATCGCGTTCGCATAGGCCAATTTGGAGGCCTTGGAATATTGCTCTTCGCGATCGCGAGCCTGGGGCCGCGATCGCATAGAAGAAAAACACAGCTGGGCAGAAGGGTTTTTAAAACATTTCCTCCGCGAATCTAAGTCATTTTTCCTCCATTGTTGACCATTTTGAGAGCTATTTGGGAGAAATTGAAGAGGGTTTCGAGGAAGATTGATTGGAGGTAAGTCCTATGAACTAAAAACGTGATTATTATGTGAAATTAACCCTGAAATTCATGATAACTTGGCTAAAATTGGAAGAACTAGGGCTTGGGATTTTGAGATTTTTAAATTAAGATTTGAAGGGTCATTTGAGCTCGGATTTGAGAGTTCTTGGTATGTATAGACTCGTGGCGAGATAAGAACCCGTTGATGTAAAAATTTCTGAGTTTCGAGAAGTGGGCCCGGGGCTCGGGTTTTGCAAATTTCGGGATTTTTGATGTTTTTTGATTATTTTCGATTGGGTTTTGTTCCCTTAGCCTATTGTGACGTATTCGTTGTGGTTTTGGTCATATTCGACGCGCGAGGAGGTCGATTTGAGAGGCAAGGGCATAGCGAGCTAGAGTTTTGGCCGGCTTGAGGTGAGTAGTGATTGTAAATGATGTCCTGAGGGTTTGAAACCCCAGATTTGCACAACGTAGTGCTATATTGAGGTGAAACACGCGCTTAAATGACGAGTGCGGGGTTGTAGAGTCTCGCGGGTACCCATATGATCTGAGAGTGAGCCCGAGGGGCTGTTACTATGCTGAGTGACTGAGAGTGAGCCCGAGGGGCTGTTACTATGCTGAGTGACTGAGAGTGAGCCCGAGGGGCTGATACTGTTCTGAGCGATTGATACTGAGCCCGAGGGGCAGATTTCTACTTGCTATTTACCTGTTGTATTATCTGATTTACCTATTTTTTTTTAAAAGAGATTTCATTTGATTCTTCACGGTTTTTACTGCTTTAAGTGATTTACTGTCTGTTATAGAATTGCTTTGTGCCTTTATGTGTTTTCATGCCTTCAGTCATTATTTATAATTATTACTCACTGGGTCGGAGTACTCACATTACTCCCTGCACCGTGTGTGCAGATTCAGGCATAGCAGCTGCTCCTAAGCGTTGATCCTTCCAGACCAGGCAGTGATTTGGAGTTACGAGGTAGCTGTTGACGTCCGCAGCCCCGTGTCTCCCCTATCCTCTATCATTTATGTTTTCTTCAGACTATTGTATCGGACTTCATACTTTGTAGACTTATAGCAGATTCTGTAGTAGCTCATGACTTGTGACACCCCGGTTCGGGCTGTGTCGGGATGGGTTTTCCTTGTTATTATCTCCGTTTCCGCAATTATGGCTATCTTAAACATGTTTTGGATTTGCTTATGTTAATTAATTATTTAAAAGAGGTGTTTCGTTTGTTCTGGCTAGCCTTGTCTTCGCGAGAGGCGCCATCACGACCGAGTTCGGAAATTGGGTCGTGACAAATGATTACTAGGTTTCAAATCTTTATAGGTTCAATCCCCAACAACGATTACTGGGTTTGAATCATTTTCACGTTGTTTCACCCAGAATGTTTGAACCCAATTATTTTGAACTTCATGCATCGTTCCTAGATTTTACACTGGTAAAGATTAAAAAATCAAGAAACTTTCCTCGGACTTTAGATTCCAGTGCCAACTGTTAGAGTTGTATTCCATATTTTAGTTGGGGGCGAAAATTTCAAAATAGAC